ATTCTCGTGTTTTAGGCCGATTTCACGCTAGGTTGTGCTCGTTTATGATATTTCAGGTCCTAGTACGTGAATGGAGGCTTGGGAGCGAGTCTGGGGTCTATTGGACGAAGATCGGACGCATGGCGAGGTTCTAAGGAAGCTGCACGGGCAGACCGTAGCATCACACGGCCGTGCAAGTGACAAGACAGGCCGTGTGGGATTGTGCGAGGCCAAACACGGGCAGCTGGAATTCTCACACGGCCGTGCAACTGAGCAACCCTGGCCGTGTGATTTCCACCGAGAGCAAACACGGGCAGACTGGGATTCTCACACGGCCGTGCAACCCTGGCCATGTGAGGTTGCTGAAGTTTGAACTTAATGGTACGCTGCGTTTTGAGCCGCACGACCAAGTGGGTGAGTCACACGGCCGTGTGGCCCGCCCATGCGGGTCGGGAAATTCTGGTTTTAGAGCCAATTCCGAGCCAAAAGTGGGAGAATCGGATTTTCAGAGCAAAAACAGAGCCCTAGAGAGAGAAAGTGCGAAGAACACATCCTATAAGCTATCTTGGAGCTGGGTTTCATCGAATCGAGCTTGGAGATCATCATAGGAGTGGAAATCATCATCCCGGAGCAGATTTTCCTCATCATTATGAGTATGACTACTCCGATTACTGTTTTCTCTTCTCTCTCTATGGAGTAGAACCCTTCTCTCACTTGGGTATGAAGAACCCTAGTTCCTTGTGTTAGGGATTTGATTGTAATGACTTGGGATGATATTACTGTTTGATTTTAATCGAATGATGCATGTTTATTGAATTGATTTGAGTCTGATCAGCTTTTCTCAATTTCTGCTGCAACCTGAGATAGATAGAATCTGATTAGGTTGTTAGAGCTTCTTCATTCGATAGTAGGAGATTGGCTATACGAGAGTTAGCCAGTTTACTGCTTTGTACTGGAATTCAATTCCAGTAGTGGAGTTCTGTGTTCATAGCCTCAGCTTTCTATCCCGGTGAAGACTAGTCGTCTGCCGAGTAGTTAGACTGAGAGGGCTTGGTCAGCTTAAGAGATTCCAAGCTATTGTCGGAACTTCCGCAGTTTAATCACAGTGAATCAACCCAGGGGAATTACAATTGAACCTAACTAAGGGGCTAGGGGGACTCAATCCCGAGTGACTCTTTCCTGCTTTAGAAAACCGAACAGTTTACTGCTTTCTTACTGCTTTTGCTTTTAAACAACAATCACTCGAATTAGTTTGCTAGATAATAGAGAATCATGGAGTAAGCAGTAGATCTAGACCCCGGGTTGATAATATAACTTGCTTGTTACTGCATTCCCGGACTGCGATTTCATTTGGTCGCAGTTTGGTGTTGTGTTTTGGCGTGTCATTGCACTTCCCTAAGGTTTACAACCTCCGTACCTCACGTTACCATTCGATCTGACAAGTCATAATTGCTAGCTAGGGCTAGCTAGTGTCAAATCCATTTACTTTTCCAAACTTTTTATCTATAGCTTGTCGTTATCACCAAAAACCAATCCCTAGATAATGTTTCAAACAATCAAAGTAGGGGTACTTGGACCCGCCCGTGTTGATATATAAACATATTTGCCTATATTGCATCCAATTAAGGTTTATACTTGGGCTTTAACCGGGAGTTTTATTGTGATATTCGGGACGAGTCACATGCAAGTGCTCCTGGTGAACTAATAGCTCATTGTACAAATTGATTCTTTCATGGTCCTTATTCGGGGTATATACAAATATTAAAACTAATCTAAACTTGCCTTCAACATGTATTTTAAGAAATGCTACCCGTCATCCAATTTAATAGCATTCAACCCATGTTGCCAGAATAACCAAACACAACCAGACTAGGATTTACTATAGTTATCCATCGACTTCCAAAAAGAAATGGCGGTCGCCGCTAACGGAACCAGCCACGTGCCGTCGGTGGCGGTAGCTCGTAGGCTTATCTCTTTGGCATCTCTCCAGACAACATATTAGACTACTAGGAGCCAGAATTTATTGATGGTGCGCTTGGAATCTCTATGTCTGTTATTAAAAGAAGCCGCCGAAAGATGGGAGCACATCTTAGTTGGTAAATTCCAATCGCGACCGGCATCGATTTCGATGATTAGGTTCTAGGCTAACTGGTTGTGGGGTAAAGAAGGTGAGGTTCAAGTTATATGGATTGGGAATCAGTTAGTATTATTCCAATTTTCATCGACAGTAGTATGTTGCTCGGTTTTCGAAGGCCATCCCTGGCATCATAAGAAAAACATGGTGTTTCTGAGGAAAAAGGAGTCAGGTTTTCAGATGCTTCCAATTGATAACTCAGTGAGTCTAGTCTGGCTACATATTTCAAATCTTCCTACGGAGTTTGCTGATAAGGAAGGTTTAGTTCAGATTGCAAATTTAGTTGGGAAACATGGACTTACCAACTATAAGGATTAAGGGGTACAAAGCTAGATTTAGTGAAGGTTTGTGTGTAGACATCTCTGCTACAAAAGAATTGATTACCCAGCTTGATATGAAACACGATGGGATGTCCAATCTGTGGGTTGGGTTGGAATATTGTAACCTTCCCCTGAAATGCTTGAAGTGTAAATGCTTTGGCCATGATTGTTCAGTTCCAGAAAGGGGTTTGGGCAAGAGAGTTTGGCAAGTTACAAGAAGCAGGAGATGGAGAAAATTTCTGATGTGGAAACAGGAAAGGCAGCTATGGTGATGAATCTAGGGGAGGGTGATGGCTCATGAGTTGTGAAAAGTGCATATGTGGAGCAAGTGGACAAGTTATGGTGGATCCAACAAAATCTATTAGTTAGGTTGAGGAGGCTCCATCTGAGTCTGTTAACCAGGCCCTCATGTTATGGTTCACACACCCCCAGCAAGTCAAGGTATGAATCAGATTGTGGATTTTTTGTTTTCCCAGATCAATGGATATATGATTGAGCTATGGAGTTTTACCTAAATTAGGTCATGCATAGCAACCCAAAACATAAAATTTTGGCAAATGTAAGAAAAAAATATAGGTCAAACACACTTGTGTCGCCAAAACTTTGACAGTTTTGCCAAATATAGCCACTTTTGGCGAAATACCAAAAATAGCCACTTCTATCTAATTGTTTTTTTTTTTTTTAGATAAGGGTGATATAGGTTGCTTTTTTGTTATTAGATACTACTGAAGAGACTCGAACCTGGGACCTCCAGGTTCATGGCTAGTGGTATTACTACTAGATAGAAGAGCAGCTCGTGTTGTATGGAAACCCGAGCCTGCTAAGGGCTTCACGGTGAAATTGATGTATAAGGCGAATGTGGAGAATCTCTACCCTGGAGCTTCAACCTTTCCATACAAGACGATCTGGCACTTCTGTCTAATTGTTTGACAGTGTTAGTTAACGTGCTGACTAACAGTAGCAGATGGCATATTTTATCAAAAGTAATATTAGGTGGAAAACAATCAAAAGTTTATCCTTTATTTTAATCAAACTAAATAAGAAATAAATAAAAACAATTAACACTTTCATAATAGTAGAAACAAGAAAAAATCCCTCACTCCACCGAAAATCTCCCTCTGCCATCGCAATCTCCAAAAATTCCTCATCTTCATCGCAATCCTCATCGCAATTCCAACCTTAGAATCTCCCTTGCCGGTGTTGGTCCTCACTAAGGAGGAGGCGAATGCTGCGACGGTGGTTGTTCCCGGTGGTTCTGCTTGACGAGGAGCAAGAGATCCAGGATTCAGATCTTCGAAATACGACGAGCAACGACCTTTCATTATATCCTGACGAACGAACCCACTTTCTCCGTCAACAGACAAACTCATCCAGATCGACGAACCCACCACCGCGAAACCCTTTTCTTAAGGACTGCGTCGATGTTACATATCGATTCTGTTGTTGGAAGATCTTCTAAAGGACGATGATGGTGACTTCTCCAACAACTTCCAGCTCTCGATTGGTGGTGAAACTTGGTGGCCAGATGTGAAGCACCCATTAAAATTGAGGGCCAAATCTACAATGAGCATATTTCCATCTCCGACCTCACTTCTATGTCGCTTCGTCTCCTTCACCGACGTTGTTGTTGTCGAAATCTATTGGCTTGGTTTCCTCTGTCCCTGGCGAAGATGATGGCAACCCGGAATCTAATGATGTCGTGGAGAACCAGTTGTTCGTGAGACATGGTCGCGACGGCGGATTGGGGTTGCTCTCGACGGGGCTAGGGTTTTTTAATTGGGGATTTTCGTAGAAGAGGGGATGAAGGTGGGAATAGGGGGGGAAATTGTTATTCCCCATCTATCTCCGTTTAGGGGTAAAGGTTGAAGGATGGCGAGCAGTTCGATGGAGACGCCGGAAATCCGATCCCAATATCGGCGGTGCTGATGTTGGTGAGAATTTGGTAGTGGTAGTGATTGGGGTGGGCGACGAAGATGGTGGGAATAATTTAATTATTGTTTTTTTATGATTTTTCATATAATGATTTTTCATTTATTTTTAAATTAAAATATGACATGGCATACATGTGGCAAATGTTGGTGAGTAGTCGATGATGTGTCCGGTGAGTTGGCAGCCAGATCATCGTTACGTTAATTAGATTAACTGTGTCACTGACGCCGTCAAACTATGTAACGGAAATGGCTATAATTGTCATCCAACTTTCAACATTCTGGCTATTTTTGGTATTTCTCCAAAATTAGCTATATTTGACAAAAAACCGTCAAAGTTTTGACTATACAGGTGTATTTGGCCAAAAATATATTATAATGATGTCTTTAATATAATTAGAATCTGAGGAAGAAATTAAACAACAGTTAATGTGAAGCAAATGAGAAAGCAGGTAGAGTATAGAAAGGAAGTTAATGGGTTTCAATTTTCATAAAGGCTGGCCAATAGTAGTAGACGAGAAGAAGGTAAGTTTGAGCTCGCGGTCCCTTTTTCCTTAACTTGAACGGTTTTAGGTAGCATTAGGATATAAATAAAACATAGACGACAGCGACAATAATATATTATAATGTGTCAGTCTGTCAGGGTGCGGGCCTTGGAGTGGCACAGAGATAGAGACCTCCATGGATGTGAAGGGTAAACATAGTCTTGTAAGTCACATTATCATGGCCTCCCAGTTGGAATCGGAAGTAGCGAAGCAGCGCCACCGCAATGATCTTCATCTGCCGATAAGCGAAGTCTCTGCCTAAGCATATCCTAGGACCACCCTGCAGCAGCACCATCAAAACTGTATTAAGTAATTATCACATATCCTTCCTTCCTTCCTTCAATAAGAAAGAAAGAAACAAACAAGTGAATGGGCCGTCCGGCGAACAAGATATATATATAGATATATATTACGTGAAAGGCGACAAATTTGAAGGGAGACTGTGGTTGGAAAGCTCCGTCGTCGTTGAGCCATCTTTCGGGCCTGAAATCTTGTGCGTCATCCCCCCAAATGTAGCTCATTCTACCCATGGAGTAGGCCAAGTAGTTGACCAAGTCCCCCTTCTTCACCCTCGTCCCGTCCGGCAGAATATCATCCGCTTCCGAACACCTACCGTCCTGCATAGCAATTGGCAGGTCAGATCAGGTCACCACTATTATTATTATTATTATTATTATTATTATTATTATTATTATTATTATTATTATTATTATTATTATTATTATTATTATTATTATTATTATTATTATATTAAGATATGGGGCGAACCATATGCATGCATATTACTAATTTTATTATATATGGAAATGGAAATTGATTGGTTACGTTACGTTACGTACTATTGGGACAGCAGGGTAGAGCCTGAGGGTCTCCGTAAGTGCAGCGTGCAGGTATGGCATTTTGTCCAGTGTCGTGTCGGTTATGCCTTGAATGAAGTCGTGAACAATACCAGTAGTTCCATCTAGTACTGCATTATTATTATTATTATTATTGCCGCCGGCCACCTCGTCGACTTCACGCGCTAATTTGTGTTGGACAAGAGGGTTCTTGGAGAGCATGTAGAAGAACCAAGACAGCGTGCCGGCGCTGGTGTCTTTCCCGGCGATCATGAAGTTGAGAATTATGTCCCTCAGGTATCGGTCGTTCATGGTGTCTGGGTCTTTCTCACTCTCCACCAGAAACCGTGACAGTATATCTTCCTTGCCACTGTCATTCTTCAATCAATCACCCAGAAATTAATTAATTAATTAATTGCATTGGAATATTATATATATAGTTTCAGAAAACAAATTAATTAATTAGCTATATATATATATATATATATATATATATATATATATATATATATATATATATATATATATATGGTAATGACTAGTGTACGTCAGGTGTATAGTATACAGCAGGTGATCTAGCCGTTAGATGTACTTAGATGAGCTTCGGGCAATCTCAACGGTCAGTTTTGTTTTTTATTAAATCAAACATCGGGTTGGGGTTTATCCATTAGAGGTTAGGGTATAGTATCATACCCCATTCTCGATTTAATTCATGGTCTAGATAGAGATATCTCACTAGTAGTACCTGACGTATAGTATACGTCTGACGTATGCCAGTCTGACCCATATATATATATATATATATATAAGACCCTTACCTTGGCGGTGGTTCGGCGCTTGGTGGCGATGACGTGGCTGACGAAGTCGTCGATGGTTCGGATGTTGCTCCTGAGGGAAGCCTCCGCGCCGAGATTGAATCGCCTCTTCAGCCGCCAGAATGGATCCGCATAGCGCCAGTAAGTCAAGGCACTCGCATCGTCAAATGCCTTCATGAATTCTCCGCCTTCTTTACTGCTCCCCTCCAAGCACCTCAACTCCACCCCAAACCCTACTTCGAATATGGAGTCCAACGTGCATCTCATCAAAACATCCTGAACAATTCATGCAGTTAGAGTGTGTGTTTACTTTTAGTTAGGGCCGGAAAAATAGATCAGACCGTTAGAAAAATCATGATACAAATCGGACCGCATAATTTGGTCCGAACCGTAGACCGTTAAGTGTGGTCTAGTCGATCCATGGTCTGTATTATCTGATGTTTTTATCTCTTGGTCTAGTCTGGTATAGACCGCTGTTTACCGGACCAAACCGTGGATCCTTGTCAATACGTGTTAATAACCCATTAGACCACTATTCCAACTACCACAATTACGACACTCAAGTCTCAACTTTAATTTTGAGAATCTCGTCTCTAGCTCCTTCATTTACAACCACATTTCACCAGAGAGTAGAGATAATTGTGTATTCATATGGCATTATGTTAATGTTTATGACGTTGTGGTGTAAGTTGGGATGTTTTTACTTTGTATCTTTGTTATGTACTAAGATTTAAAGTATCAAAATTATTCATGCATGTTAGAATTAATGTTGTCAAGTTTGGCTATTTTTTTTAATTTTTAGAAGGATTTATCTAAATTGGGAAATTGTGATGGGTAAATTGTTTTTAAATAACAAGAGAAACTTTGCAATACTTTAAAGTATGAATGTTTTAGTTCTTTTTGTCTTTTCGGTAAAAACTGAATTTGTACTTTTAAAGTTATAGTACAAATTCAATTAGTATCTATACTTTTTGTAACAAATTGAATTTATACCATAACGTTAAAAGTACAAACTGAACTTGTATCATAACATAATAATATAAATTTTCTTATGATACAAACTTAACTTGTACAAGTTATTTCATAGTACATATTTAATTGTATATCGAAATACCAATACTTTTTTTTCCCGATAAACATCAATACTTTAAAACATAATAGAAGCGCTCAAATAACTAATTTCACCTAATATGTTCAAAGCATCATGAAAATAATACATAAAGCCTCGTACAAACTATAATAAAGCAAATTGCAATTTTCCTAATCAAAACAATAACCGGGAATTTTTTAAAGAAACCGGCAATATAAGGGGAAAATGGCACGGCACATTAGAATCCCCTTATAAGGAACTAGCATAAACGTTATTATTTCTTTTACAATTTAATCTATGAATATACGTAACAATATTTTAGTTCAAAATACCAAAAATTTTAATTTTTTTTATTCAATTGAAGTCAAGAATGAAACTTTCTCATCTTTATTATTCGTACTAGATGGTGCCTGACCCCTTGGCCGGAATGATTTATTGGTATATATTGGGATTGAATAGAGGTGAAAAATGAATTAGTGATTGACGGAATTTCGTAGTAGATAGAGAGAATAAAGCTTTTGTCAAATTTTCCATTTTTTCATGTAATTGACAAACAATCCATTAATAAAAATTAACAGTTTTTTAAACTCCTAATGTTTCACTGCACGACATAGTTAAATTTTCATACTTTAAATCCAAATTATTTTTACTATCTTCTTCATCCTAGTTAAGTCACACGATTTATATTTTGACTTTATAAATTTTCTACTTTCACCAATCTTGAAGTAGTTCCTTTTTTTTCTATTTTCATTATATTCTTATTAATTTAGCTCTCCCATTATTGATTTTTTGGATAATTCTCTTTCCGGTTTTTAAGAAAAAAAAAATTTGTGAGTGTACCACCAAAATACATTAAGTGTAAATGAGGAATGGAGAGGGGTGGCGAAATTGTTTATAATCTGGATAATACAAACTAATGAAAGTAAAAATATAAAAAATGAAAATTATATACAACCTCATTCTCTTTCTGAAATAATAACATTTCCCAGAAATAGACAAAGATTGAAAATGCTCTTCAGTATTCACAGCCGAAAAAAAAGGAGGAGGGGTTTAAAAGGGAAGTTCTGGGCCGATTTTGGGAGGCCCATAGCGAGAGGGAGTAATTGCGCATTGTCTTATTTGTCCCTCCGAAGAGTGCGGTCTAGCGAGAAAGTGCTTACATGGCCAATTTTTTTCCCTGACAATCCCTTATATTATTGTGTAGAAGCGTATTTTAAAGAGGTTTATTGCGTCTAGATAAAAATTATAATATTTCACGTGTATTTGAGATCTATAATATTTATATAATAAAATGCTATGTTTTCATACTAGGACCGATTGTTCAACCAAAACAGCTAGTGGTTGATGGTTCAATGGTTAATCGTTATACAGTATTGTTAATCGTTTATAAAACCGTTCATGCGCTATAACATAAAAGTCACAATACAATAAATTAGAAGTGAATTTATCACTAATTATAAATAATTTCAAAACCTATATCATCTAATACCAAAAATATTTAACAAAACATTCAAATTGTCTAACAAAAGAAATCATAATTTTTTTATTAAATTCAAATTAGTAATCATGTGAGTGTGACAATCCATAGTTAACCAAATAGAGGTGTCAAAGAGGTTGGGAAACGAAGAAAAGAAATTATAAATAAAATTAGTGATTGAGGTTGGGTGATCTTAGTTTATGTAAAAAAAATCATAGTTAAAATAATAAACAACTGGGTCAGTCAAGCCTGGGTTGTTCTTCTGACTTCATGTCCAGCGGCGGATCCAGAACAGAAAAGAGCACTGGGCCGCATTTAGAACCATAAAACAAATCTAATGATTATAGTTTTGTTTTTACAATGTCAATTATACACGACGGTATTTTAATTTAGCGAATGCATTAATAATGGAGTCCACATCTATACCAATAGTATACACCGTTTCAAATAAAAATACTTGAGCAATCGGCAAGAAATTCATCGCTTATTTTTTGCGCAAATCAATTTCACATGTTTCATTGTTGAAAAGGTTCTCTTCGTAGTAGCGGTTGAAACGAGCAACGTCAACACTAGACAATCAATCGACTAATCAATTTGCATTGTGTGTTCATCCCTACATCCACCAGCTACACAGTAAATTTTCAAGGGAACAAACCTCATATTTCTTTTAGTCTATCACGTTTTACACTTTTAAGTTTCATTGTTTTTTTAGACGCACAATCTTTGGGGCAAGAATTTCTAAACTAAATTTAAAGTAGTGATTTAAATATGTTCATCTGAATCATTTTTCTAGTTATACACAATCTTATTATAAAATAACACTAGACCGAATGCCTATAATCGAAATTTTACAAGGACTATACTAATACCAAATCCAGAGGAGGGCTAGGGCGGGGCCCGGGGTGGCCACCCCCTGGATCCCCCAATGTTCACGTCAAATCGTTCAAACCGTTCAATGTATCCTTAACCGTCCAATAAGATAAACCGAACCTCTATTGTAACTTATTTAATGGTTTCGGTGGCCAGCTGTTGATCCGATTCGAGGATATGTTATTATTATTATTATTATTATTGTTATTATTATTATTATTATTATTAGGGGAAACCTGCTTATAATAGATTATGAAACATCAACAGGTACATCGTCCAGCAAGAGCTGGTCAAGATATGTTATTATCAATATAACTTTCTTACAAAGAAGATCATATTAAACATCAAAGCAAAAAATCGAGTTTATAAATGGCTCTTAAAAGTTTATCATAAAAATCCTAATTGATAATTCTACTGGGAATGACAAAAATATCCGTAACCGTGAATATCCGCCCGAATTTGACCTAATAGAGTAGGGTAAAACTCGAACCCGAACCCGAAGGACATTTAGTGGGTATAGGTAAAATCCGAACCCGAATATTACAGGTAATGGGTGGGCATGGGTTTCTCACTATCCAACCCGAACCCGCCCGATTATACACATGCACATGTATTTTGTCTAGAAGTAATCATTATTTTTCTCTAACATATTTTATATTTAGCATATAAATATAATATTTTCATGAAATTGTGTTGTTTTAATTAATTTTCTTCATTCTTGTGAAGTATTGTCGTACTTTTCCTCTTACGTAATGTGAGAATACGTATGAATGTTAACATATTTGTTGGAGTTATGAAGAGAAATTATTACTCATGGATATCTTGGATATCCGAAATCCGAACGGGTATGGGCATGGTTTTGATTTTCTACCTGTATCACATGTGGGTAAGGGCAGTGGCGGACCCAGGGGGTTTAGGGGTGTCCCCGGACACCCCTAAATTTTGGGAAAATGATTATCCAACCCCCGATGATAATTTACGTATGGACAAAATAAAATATAATTGATAGTGAGGGACACCCCTTAAATTTGAAAAAATGATTATCCTACTGTCATTTGTGTATAGGAATATAAGTGGTAGGTTGGATAATTTAAATCTAGAACACTATTATTATTAATAAACTTAATTTCCGTTGAGCTAAACTCATTTGTTGTTCGATTATGAACAATGTGTAATAGTAAAATGACATTCCCTATCTCTAATTATTTTAAAAAACTAACAATTAAACTAATTTCAAACTATCCTTAATTTGTATTCATTTTATGATTGTACGCGGCAAGTGTTGAAAGAGTCTTTCAGCTTTGGGTTACATGAAGAACAAGTCTACAAATCGAATATGCGATAAGTTCGTGAATGATTGTCTAGTAGTGTATATAGAGACAATTTTTTTAAACACTATAGACACCAAGTGTATTCTACAATTATTTCCGAAACACATCATGGACTTTTTTTAACCTGTACGAGTAAGGTATTTTCATATTTACAATTTTATTTTTATCAATTATTTTATTTTTATTAAATTTATTTTTTAAAAGAGGGCACCCCTATAAAAAATTTCTGGGTCCGCCACTAAATATGGGCATGAGTAAAACCCGAACTACTTTAAATAGGATAACAAATATGCACTATCCGTCCCTGAGCTGATCTATTGTCATCCCTAAATTCTACATGGTCCCAAAAGATCTGTGCAGTTTTCCAAATTGTTTTTAATTAATTAATACATGCAATCTTTAGGGCATTGAAAACATAGTGGGCAAAGATTGGATTGGGTACAGTCCGGTCTTGATCCGGTCCGGTCCCAATTCGGTCTTGATTTTATATTGAGCTTGT